ATTAAAGTGATTCCATTCACTGTCAATCATAAATTGGGATTGTGTGCCTTGATCTATTATCGGTTAAGTATGGAAAACACTAGTCCTCAAGGTGGAATGCTCCAGGAAAGTGATCAAGACGTACTGAAAAAGAAAAAGCGGACAACTGCTACAACTAGCGGACTGCTGCTACCTAGCAGATGACTGAAATTGGTTCAAAGTTGATTCAAATTGGTATCAGACAGATGACAGAAGCATCAAGACAGGAATGAGGTTGTAAAGATCAAGATCTGGACGAACAACAGTGTTCTCTATACTTAATCATTTATTAACATGATCATAACACAACCCCTACATTCCTTAAAATTCTCCTACCTGCTCCTCTTTATTTGGTATCATTATTATTTTAATTGATATCTTATATCCTCTATGTGCAATTCTTTGTTTATTCTCTCAATGACCCTCCATTTTTGATATTGACAAAGGGGGAGAAATATGTTGACTTCAAGTATGTCTCATACTGTACGGGAAAAAGTCCCTGACCTAAGTCAATCAAAAAAGAGGAAAGAGATTCTCTTTGTATGGGGGAGAGTGTTTATATATTTTGGTATCAAGAGAGTTGCATGAAGTGAGGGGGAGCTTGCTGTTATATTTTTTTCTCATATGCTCCTAACTGTTTTTATGCTCTCTTGAAGTCATTATTTGTCAACATCAAAAAGGGGGAGATTGTTAGTCGACTTGTGCTACCTTTACTTTTTGATGTTTACAAATAATGAAGCTAATATGTGTGTTGAGATGCTGCAGGTTTACTCATTCAAGTCAATCCACTAAAAATAGTCTTTCTTGATAGCTAGAAAAGCCGTTTTATCAAGAATGTGTGGATTGCATATTAAAAGCTCTCAAATTCATTTTTATCACTTCAAATATATTCTTTATAACTAATCAAACATTTTACTTTTGCACAGCAGAATCAAATTCCTAAGTTTTCCCCAGCAGTTGAGTACTTTTTCAAAATAGTTAACTAGTTTTCCTTCTTTGAGTTTCTCTTGTTTTGAGTGAGCTGTCTTCAAGCTTTTTCTCCATCCTTTTGCTGCAGCTTAACCTCAATTTTAAGAGCTCTATATCCCTCTTTATTATGTGTTTCAATCGTGGTTAAAGTTCTCTAGAGTTTGGTTTTTAAGTTGACCTTTTCGGCAGCCAACTGCTCGAGGCAAGGCCGCTGCTGTTGAGCCAACTGCTCGAGGCCACTGCTGAGGCCACTGCTGCTGAGCCAACTGCCGAGCCCTCTGCTTAGCCAACTGCCAAGCCCCCTTCCGAGCCACCTGCCGAGCCACCTGCCGAGCCACCTGCCGAGCTAACTGCTCAAGCCAATTTTTTTCAGCCAACTGCTCAAGTCAAATTTCTTCGAGCCAACTGTTGAGACTACTGCTCCTAGCCCTCTGCCCTTAGCAGCCCGCTCCTTCTGAGAGGTTGTTCTCCTAGAAGTCTGCTACACTAATCTTTATTCTAAGTATTTTTTTTCCTTAGAAATCAATCCAGACTTCAATTCAAATTAATTCCTAAGTTCAGCGCTACTCTTTCGTTGACTTTTCCAGTAAAGACAAATATTTTATTTTGTCGTCTGGTAAAGACAATTAATTTATTTGGGGACCCAGATCCTTTTCTGAACGTTGGAGCATCTTTATTAATCATTCTAGCCGTTGGCACTATCTTCCAAATATGGAAATCAATCAAATATCAATAATTGATATTATAGCCGTTAAAGCCAATAATTCCGCGATTCTTTCCTTCCAAATCTTTGATTTCAAATCTTCAACGGCCAAATCTTTTCCTATATATACTTCGTCTTCTACACTGATCAAAACAACGAATTACACATGAAAAATTCCACACGAAGAATTCTTGACGAAATACTACTCTACACTTTGAATATTCTGCGAAAGAGTTCATTTTGTTCCTGAAGCTTTTCTTAATCTCTCTGTCTTGAATTCTGCTTGTGCTATCACTTTAAAATTTATTTGCAGAAATTCACATTGGTTTTAAGCTCTTGAAATTCATATTTTTAATCTTGATAAAACCAATTTTTGAGAGAGCTACTTGATATTTGCAATCGCACTTGTTCTTGATAAAACTTTATATCTTTGTGTGTATTGCCTTGTAATTCTCAACTCTTCGACAAGCATCAATCTTTATATTCTGCTTGAGAGTTTGAGATCATATTCTCTACTTGTATTTGTTCTCCATCTTGTAAGGTTTTGATTGGTTTCCCTAAAACCAATCTTAGGTTGTTGGTTAGCCCGTTGTAAAACCAACTTAGTTGAGGTTGTGTGGTTGTGCCTCTTGAAAATCACTGTGAGGTTTTTGGTGTGCCTCTAGAAAACCATTAGTTGAGGTTTTTGGTTGATCCTCTTGAAAACCATTAGGTTGTGAGTTAGCCCGTGTAAAACTCATACTCATTGGCAAGGGTTTGTTTGCCAAAACTTTAGGTGGTGCTCTTCTTGTGTTCAAGGGAGACCATTTTTAGTGGATTTGGAAATCCTGAGGGAGGTGTCCTTAGGTAGAGGAGTAGGATTAGCCGAACCTCTATAAATCATTGTGTTCTTACTTGTTAATTGCTTTCTTGTTTGAACACACACACACACTAATTTACATTCGTTTGTGCACTAACACTCACGTAAATTGTTTGTTCTATTCTTGATTGTTTCCGCTGCCTTCATAGCTCAAGCACATTTTTTTAAACACCTAATTCACCCCCCTTCTTAGGTGCTTTTCGTGTCTTTCAGCTCGTGCATGCGCATGCTCCGATCCATGCACTACGAGCCATGCTCTACGATACTTGTAAAATTAATAGCACCATCTATTGCTATATTAAAAAGTGCATTCACCATCGGTTGCTATTAAAAATTAATAGCATTATCCGTTGCTACATTAAAAAGTGCATGAACTAGTTCAACTTTCAAACTTAATTAAATTGAAGTGCCACTTTTAAAATTCAAAATCCAATTCCAATTGAAGTCCGATGGCAATGATATTATCTATAAATACGCATCTATTTGATTTGTAAACACATTATTATCTAATTTCTATCTCATTTTCATTTAGCATAGTCATACATGGATACAAATAATAGTGTGTTTTTAAGAATTTCCTAAACTCAATGGGAAATTCTGACTAGTCTTATTCATAAAATTCTCCAAATGGAGCTCTATCTTCGCCATTTCCTCAAATGCCTCAAAATTTTCCGAATTTTCCATTTCCTTATCCACCTAATTTTCCAAATCTTCATGCTTATGAAAATTTTTCAAACGGATCCAACAATATATTCACACCTCCATGTTACGTTCCGGGAGGAGAATATTGGTCTAGAAATGGAACTCCTAATATGTCCCATAGTCATTTGGTCCAAAAAAAATATGCCCCATAATCACATATATATCCAAGAGACTCAAATTCCTCGCCGTGAATCAAAGAAGAATGTTGATACTTGTTCGTCGTGGCAAGAGGTAGAAACACAATCTTCTATCCAAGAGACTCAATTTCAACCATTATCCACACAAACGAGGCCAAATAATGTCGGCCTCAATGAAAATATGGATGGGGGGAATGAAACCGATGTTGATAGTTTAAAGAAAAAGAAATCATATGTGAAGTGGGAAGTGGGTGAAGAGGTGTTTCTTGCTAAGGCATGGGAAATGATTAGTGAAGATCCATCTATTGGAAACAATCAATCTAGAAATACATTTTGGGACTGTGTTCGAATTTACTACAATGAAAACGACCGGACGGAACTACGGAGATAAGCACCACTCAAGTAAAAAATCACCACAATGCAATGTTGAAGGAAACAAACAAGTTTGGATCTAAGTTCAACAATGAGTGGAACCAAAGGAGAAGTGGGGAAAGTGATGATGATATATATGCACGCGTTATTGCCAAATTTGTCGCGGACGAGAAAAAGCCTTTCAGGTATGACCATTTGTGGAGAGTTGTCAATAACACCCCACGATTTGCTTGACAGGAAGACGTTCAACACTCACACAAGAAGACCAAAGTTAACGAATTGGGTACATAAAAATCATCTTCCAATGGATATGCAACTGTTGATATCGATGAAAGTGAATTAACGAATTTCAAAACACTCCACTAACTCTCCTCTACAAGACAATAAAATACAAAAAAAATCTCCATCTCCCCATATATTTACCAAAAAAAACTGACACCCTACCCCCTACCCCCAAATCCGAATTTCAAAGCTTCCAAAAGGAAATAAATAACATGAAAGAGAGATAGAGGAAAAAGCTCAACTAATAGGGGCCCTAATTCAAGGCTACGAGGATGACCATTTCAGCCCAGTTATGACAAAGACGAGCAATAGGGACAGTGCTTCGAGCTATGTGAGGGGGAGTCACTCATTGGTACGTACTTAAGTTTGATACCTTGTAAATTAGCATTATTTTCTTCGCACAAAAAAAAACTAAAAAAACACAAAGAAATGCTAGTTAAGTTGAAAACCCAAAAATGGGTATGCCCAGGAAAGTGACTTTCTGGGAAATTTCCTAAGATACCCGATCGGGTATCCTATATACCCGGTCGAGTATCAGACCCTGCAGCTCCCAAAAGCCTATAAATACACCCCTTTCCTTCACAATAAAATCACCAATTCCTTTATACTTCTAAGCTCAGTCTAGATTAGTTCTTTCTTTATATTTTCTTTAATCTTCTTCCTTGAATATTAATTATTAGTTCTTTCCTTAATACTATCTCTATATTAATGTTGGGGAGTGTTGCTAAGATGACAATTAGTTAACATCTTGACATTAGTTATAGTAGTATTTTCTTCCTGATAGAGTATATAGACTCGGACCCCCGGGTCTCACGACTATTGGACCCGGGCAGCGACCCACGTACACTCAACTGATAGCATTTTCATTATTGTACATTATTATTATTCAGGTGTTCTAGATTAGCCTTTTATATTATCAGTCCATTTATGTAACCGGGTTTGTCAGGCACATATTAGAGGCCCAGACCCAGATTTCTTCTATATATACTCCTTTTGGAGCTTGTAAACCACAATTCTAATTCACATTATTACTTATTCATCTTCTTCCTCACATTATCTCAAATCTCTCCATTTTATTATAGTTTAGATACCCCTATAATCCATCAATGGTGCTTTCATTGAGAGATTAGAGCAAAATCAAGTGAGAAATCCTCCCAAAAAATATCCAAAGAATCATCTCATTCACAAAAAAAATCCAGAACAAAATGATCTCGAAAATGCAAAAAAAGGAGGAAGAATTTGCAATTTCAGATCCGAGAAGTCCCAGATCTGATCGGAAACGGGCCGTCAGTCGCAGCTCCCCTCTAGTCTGGTGAGCCCTTGCAAGTTTCTGCCATTAAATGGCCACAAGATATTGCCATTTTGCCAGTAGGGAGCCCTTGCTCCTTGCAGAGTGCCAGTCAAGATATCGTGGGCGAGAGTAATTTCGCACAGAGCAGCGGTAGATCTGACGACCGAACCTACACTTTCCGGCGACATCCATGGAAGGATTGGAAGAGGACCGATCATATCTCCAGGCGCCTAGCGGAAAGCCATCGATTGTGGTTCTCGACTAGCAAAATGGTTGCCAAGCTGGCAAGCTCCTCTCCTGCAACGCCATCTGCAGTAGCCAGCCGTCGCGGCTCTCTTCCTCTTCCCAAGAAAGCCAGGCAGGGATGATTTGGTCAAAGAGGAGTGATTACCCCATAATCCATTTCCGGCGGCATGGATTTCTACCAGCTGGATGGACAAGGCTTGGATTAAAATTGATGGGCCAAGACTACACGTAGTCCACGACTTCAACATCACAGTCCATTTATTCAGCCCACTCAAAAGCTAAGTAGTTAAAAACTCTTTCCATTTATTGATTTTCAGTAATAAATTTCATAAAAAGAAGTACAAAAAAGTCATAAAATGAAATATTTTAATAATATAGCATCAAACTTCAATCTTGAGGGGCGAGTCATCCGTGAAAAGACTCGTAAATAGCGTCCAGCGGATCCCAGCTACGAACTTGAGTGACAAGTTGAGCTATATTATTAATTTACTATCATTATTTATTATTAAATAGTGTGTATTTTTTGACATTGAAAAAACGGACTTATGAAATTCCGAGCACTCACGTACACTGGAAGAGTGCTAAAATCTTGCACCACCGGGTCATGTCAAACGAGTGTGGATATTAAGCTCCCAATCCAAATGTTATCTAATACATACTCTAGTTTCTATGTTTTGAATGAGTTATGTGTGACCTCTAGCTATCGGAAATGAACTACAATCCCTCAGCGGTATGTTCAATCCTTTATGCGTGCCACGCTCCAACAAAGCATAGAAACCTAGCTTGATCTCCGGCTTGAAAACTTGAGGCCACTTAATGTAGGTCCAAATCCAATAGCAAATTATAAGCTCAAGAAATTATAACAATTTTATTTGAATGCATAGGTGCAACTATATGATGACATCATACCGGCCACTTAGCCGTCTCTCCTGGTCATCTTTATTTGATGGCTTGGGCTTCTTACAGGCCCATCGGCCACATATCGCTCCGTCATCTTTATTTGATGACGTGAAGCCCATTTACAGGCCCATCAGCCACATATCGCTCCGTCATCTTTATTTGATGACGTGAAGCTCATTTTCGGGCCCATCGGCCATATATCGCTCCTTCCTCTTTATTTGATGACACGAAACTCATTTTCGGGCCCATCGGCCATATATCACTCTGTCATCTTTATTTGGTGACGTGAAGCTCATTTACGGGCTCATCGGTCATATATTGCCCCGTCATCTTTATTTGATGACGTGAGGCTCTCATATAGGCCTCTCGGCTAAACATCACCCCGTCATCTTTATTTGATGATGTGGAGCTCTCATATAGGCCTCTCGGTCATACATTGTCCCATCATCTTTATTTGATGACGTGGAACTCTCATAGAGGCCTCTCGGCCGTACATCACCCTGTCATCTTTATTTGATGACGTGGAGCTCTCCTACAGGCCTCTCGGCCGTACATCGCCCTGCCATCTTTATTTGATGGCGTGGAGTTCGTATATAGGCCCATCGGCCATATATCGACCCGTCATCTTTATTTGATGATGTGGATCTCATACAGGCCCCATGGTCATACATCTGTCAGTCATCTTTATTTGATGACCTAGACATCGCATTATGGGCGGTCACTCGACCTATCTCTTAGTCATCTTTATTTGATGACTAGAACTACTTATCATGCCGAGCTACTCACATCTAGAGACTAGTCTCGGCCATCCCCTCAGCAGATGGACACCGTTGCAGCTCCACACCTAGGCCGAAGGGCTCACCCCTTTTGCTTCATTTTGGGGGCATCTGGTGTACTCGTTTTCCCTCATTAGGATTTTTCTCATTGGGCTTTTACCTAATGAGGTTTTTAACGAGGCATCTCCCCATTGTGGATCAAAAGGCGTCGACCCTCAGCCCCCTATTGAAGATATCACGCGACACGCACTACTCTACTCTTCTTCACCTCACTACATTCACCTCAAGGAGTGGGGGACTGGAAGAGCGGGGGACTTAGCGCCTCCGTTAACCAAAGAAGCAGAAATTCAAATTTTTTCACGAAGTCTACTCACCAGAACACGACAAATTAGCACACAGTTCTACTCCATTTCGCCTCGAGTACTCTCGACTCAGGGAGTGGGGGACTCCTGATAGAGTATATAGACTCGGACCCCCGGGTCTCACGACTATTGGGCCCGGGCAGCGGCCCACGTACACTCAACTGATAGCATTTTCATTATTGTACATTATTATTATTCAGGTGTTCTAGATTAGCCTTTTATATTATCAGTCCATTTATGTAACCGGGTCTGTCAGGCCCATATTAGAGGCCCAGACCCGGATTTCTTCTATATATACTCCTTTTGGAGCTTGTAAACCACAATTCTAATTCACATTATTACTCATTCATCTTCTTCCTCACATTATCTCAAATCTCTCCATTTTATTATAGTTTGGATACCCCTATAATCCATCACTTTCTCTATATTAATGTTGGGGAGTGTTGCTAAGATTACAATTAGTTAACATCTTGATATTAATTATAGTAGGATTCATCTTCTTTAATAATATTCTTCCTTGAATATTAATTAATTCATATTTCATATTAATATTTTGAGCATTACTTAAAGGATCAACTAGTTTTTGTTTCATATGTTAATTATTACTAGAATCAATCGATTAATACGCTTGTTATTAATTCGGTCGTTCAACGGTAGTAAACTTGGATTATTACTGCATGCGTCTCATGGTTAATAATCTAAGGGAAATTAATTATATTGATTAAACAAACCAATAAACCGCTTGTGTTGAGGTTATCAATCTCAATCGTTTTCATCTTAAGTTTATTGCTACTATCGGGTTAATATACGGCGCGTGTTCTATATTGATTCGGTGGTAAGTTTTATTAATGAACGCGTCTTGTTATTAATAACTACCCTCGATGAATTGGATATACTCCTCAGTTGAGTATTCGAAAGGAAGATAGTTAAAGATATAACCGGGATCGACGAACATTTCATTAAGTGGATAAAAGCAAAACCAAGTACTTATCTCTATTAATTAAACTTATATAAGTCGTTCATCTTAGTGTTAATTAAATTAAATCAAATCAAATCTAAAACCCCCTTGTTACTAGAATTTAATTAAAAAGAAAAGTGTGGACATATAAAAGTTATTGGACCAATGTTCATTTCTGTTGGGCTGCTCGTGATGGTTGTTGGGCCTTATAAAAATATTAATATGGATCCATTCGGATAAAATTTAATAATTAAATTAATTCGGGTCTACATACCCAATTGATTCAATTATAAATTAAATCTTTAAAAGAATGGACCAATCCTATTAATTTATTTATTTTGAGCCCAGTATTAAATAATGGCCCAATAAATAAGAGACATGATCCAATATATGAAGAGGAGGATGAATCTAGTCAAGAAATCAGTCCATATGCATGGAAAATGGCTGCAAACCTTGTTAAAAAGGTTGTCGAGATACATCGGTCAAGTGATGATTTTTCTAGCTATTGAAATGCGAGCACATAGAGCCCAAAACCCATTTTAATCAGGGCCAAGGAGTATGGACGAATTTCCAAAACCCTAAAACATATTTTCATCCCCTCCACACCTATAAATAGGGGTCTCAGTTGAGAAGAAAGGGGAGAGAATTTTGAGACGAAGAAACGTTGCAGGAAAGCTCTCAAGAACTCCCGAAAGGCTCTGAACGATTCCGAAGAAGATGAACAGATCAAGCCACGATTTTTATTAAGAATATACGAATAATCCTTCGTGATTTCGTCGATTCTTAATAAAATAAATCCAAAAGTTGAAGAACGTTCGAAGATTTGAAGAACGAAGCTTGAAGATTCGAAGATCTGAAGAACAAGACTTTGAAGATTCGAAGATATGAAGAACGAATCTTTGAAGATTTGAAGATGCTCATATGAAGATTGAATTGAAATTCAATTGAAGATCAAACCATATATCTCGGGAGGCCCTTAAACAAAAGATCAAGCCATAAAACGGCCCTTTTGTTGAAGATCAAGCCACTTGAAAACCGGAGGCCCTTCAAGTTGAATTCTTAATTCAAGAAGATTTGAAGATCCGACGAATGAAGATTTGAAGATTCGAAGATCTCAAGAACGAAGATTTGAAGATCTGAAGAACATTCGAACGTTTGAAGGATTAAAGATTTAATTTTGAATTGATTTCTTTAATTATATTCATGTCAAATTGCAAGTTAAGAATCAGAGGATTCATATTTAGAGATTGTACCCAATATTCTCACATATTATTATTTGCGATCAATTTTAAGTGAATACTTAAAATTTGTTTCACAAATTTTTGGCACGCCCGGTGGGACATCTCTACCTCTCATCTCTTAACTTTGATCAAAACGAATCCATGGCATCAAGCAAGCCCATGTTCACCTTGAATTCTAGAGCGTTATCAAGCTCGAATCAAAACATGCAAGACCCTATCACTAGGAGCCAATCAAAAATCCTGGCTGCGCAGTCATCTTCGGGAACTACTCCCGGTGCGATGGATGGATATCAAATTGCGCAAGAAATGGCCTGGAAGCTTTCTTCACCCATACAAGAAGTTACTTCCCCGAGATGGACAAGTAGTGGTGAGAACTCATCATATGGATCAGACTCTACTTCCCCATCAAGTCCTCCACGAGGAACTACTCCACAATGGTCAAATGTCTACACTGTGATGCCCACTATGACGACGAGCACCATATATTTGGAAGAACAAATCGCCAATCTAACTAAGGTCATCGAGGGGATGAGTACGTTCATGCAAGCTCAAGATCAAAAGTTGAATGATCTGAACAACAAAGTAGAAAGCTTGAAAGGTGAGTCAAGTCATGCTCATGAGAAGGATCCTGAGGTGCATGAAGACAATGATTTTCACCAAGAGAATTCGAAGAAGAATATCTCAACCTCTAGGGGCATGATCCCGATTGATCAACTCAAAGATCTCATCATGGGAACCATAAAGGGGAACATAGAAGGAAGTCAATCTACTTACTCCTATGTTAAGTCATATACTCAAAGGATCGAGGATCTGAAAATGCCCATTGGTTACCAGCCGCCGAAGTTCGTCCAGTTTGATGGGAAAGGAAATCCAAGATAACATGTTGCCCATTTTGTGGAGACTTGCAACAATGCGGGAACAAGTGTGGATCACCTCGTCAAGCAGTTCGTGCGCTCCCTTAAAGCAAATGCATTTGACTGGTATACTGACCTAGAACCCGGTTCCATTGACAGCTGACAAGATATGGAACGTGAGTTCTTAAACCGTTTCTACAGCACAAGGAGGGTGGTGAGCTTGCTTGAGTTGACAACTACTCGCCAACAGAAAGATGAGCCTGTGATAGCTTACATAGAGCGTTGGAGAGATCTTGCTCTAAACTGCAAAGATCGGATCTCTACAAGTTCCGCTATCGATATGTGCATTCAAGGAATGCATTGGGAATTGTGCTACATTTTCAAAGAAGTCAATCCAAACACTTTCGACGAGCTAGCAAGCAAAGCTCGTAACATGGAGTTAAGCATTGCATGTAGTGGAAATAAAGCCATGGGTATGTATCCCATAAACAATGTTGTTGAAAAATAAGATACCAAGAATGGGGGAAAACCCTTTTCTAATATTGAAAATAAAGAAGCAATGGTCGTGAAGGCTGCACCTGATAAGATCTTCACTCAAAATTCAAAGAAAGTTTCTAGGGTTGATTCGGAGGCGTCGAAACGCGTTAAACCATTTCTAGAATACATGCTAGAAAAGAAATGCCCCTTATTAGACTCTGACGTTCCTCCCATGTTTGAGGAACTCATGATATTGAAGCTTATTAATTTACCCGAGTCCAAACGACCCGAGGAAGCTACAAAGATAGATGACCCCAATTACTGCAAGTACCATCGACTTTTAAGCCACTCCACTGAGAAGTGTTGGGTGCTTAAAGATAAAATTATGGCCCTGGCTCGTCAAGGAAAGATTGAGCTCGCCGATTCTGCTGCAAGCACAAACCAAATTGCCATCACTTTTGGTAAGTTTTCTCCATTTATGGTTAAAGACAACTCGAAAGAAGAGAGTAAGAGCTCTCACAATCGAAGACTTCCTTTTACTATCAAAGTGATGGGAAACTACTCTCGCGTGAGAGATGAAGAAAATAATGGCGAAGAAGGTCCATGGATCTTAGTAGATCGAGATAAACAAAATAAGAGGCAAAAATTGATCCTACCCCCAGTGAAGGGAGTAAAGAAATGGATCAAGAAAAGGGAGGTTTATAAACTCAAGCTAAAGAAGGAAAGAAAGACTAGTGTTTGTTCCAAGGTTGAGCGAAGGTCAGTTACTCTAGACAATTATATGCCAAAGGATTTCAAGAACAAGGTGAATCAAACTTCAAGTTCCTGCCTCGGCACTCGTGAAAAAGAAGTTGAGAGCTCAAGCAAATGCTCATCACCAACTTCAGCTAAGAAAGAAGATGTAAAAACACAGAACTCTACCTCGTATGCTACTGATATTGTCTTTAAAGACGAAGATCTTATGTTGGGTGCCACACCCCATAATCGCCCACTTTTTGTTGAGGGGTATACTTGTGGACAAAGATTCAAAAGAATCATGATTGACCAAGGATCCGTTGTTAACATTTTGACAGTTCAGGCTATGAAAGACCTTGGAATATCAATTGATGAACTCTCCCAAAGCCGCTTGATGATTCAAGGCTTCAATCAAGAGGGGCAAAGGGCAATTGGAATGATACGCCTTGGTTTGGTCATCGGCAAGCTGAAGGCAAGCACTCTATGTCATGTCATTGATGCCAAAACTTCATATAATCTTGTGTTAGGACGCCCATGGATCCATGAAAATGGTGTAATTCCGTCAACTTTGCACCAATGCTTCATGTATGAAGAAAACGGTGTTGTGAAGAAGGTGTTGGCTGATGAGACTCCATTCACAGAAGCTGAGTCCTATTTTGCAGATGCAAAGTTATACTTCAAGGCTAAAGTCTCTAAAGATGAGGATGCTCGAAAAGATGATGTGTATCACCCTTTGACTGGGCCTAAATTGAAAGAAAAGCTTGTTGAAGGTGCGGAGAGGCTCACATTCCCTCTTGCACAGATTGAGATATCGAAACCTTCTCAAAAGGCTCCTAAAGAGGAAGCTGAAAAGAAATGTGAGTCTGAGTTGCCTAACACACGTACGAAAGAAGGATTTGACCCAAACACATACAAGCTCCTTGCCAAATCCGGTTATAATCATAACGAACAAAAGTTAGGGAAGCTCATTCCAGAAGCTGGTGGAGAAGGAACACCGAAGCAAATCAACTTAAGAGGCCACATTGGATTGGGCTATGTTCAACCTAAACCTATAAAAATCCTCATAAATAGAGCCGCAATACATCATATCAGTGCTGATGAGGAAGATGAAATAACTTCTAAGCCAAAGTACTCCGTCTTTGACAGAATGGCATCGAAGCCAAAGTACGCCATCTTTGACAGAATGGCATCGAAGCCAAAGAAGATCGTGAAGAAGAATTTACAAGAATGGCTTGAAACGAGCCCGATGATGTTGAAACACGCTGAAGGGCTATGCATGGGACAAAACTTCAAAAGAAAGTCTGTTCATGAAAGATTGGGATTGAAGCATGAAAGCAATAAATTTGCTAAAGTTCCTCTCGAAAAGAAAAGTCTTAATGAGTATAAAAGCTTTATCTCATCTCATATGAAACGAGAAACCGATGTGAAAGTAACATATGGAAGCGCATTCAAAGTCAAGCCAGTGACCATTGTGCACACTCATGGTCAATATGAAGACCAATATGTGAACTCCTGCATTATCAACTTTGAGGATACAGTACCCTTCATGTCAGGGTATGCATATGACCAAACAAAATGTTAAATGGCTTAAACCACCAATGATGTTGTAAGTGGCTAAACTGCTAAAACATCTCACTTTGTCTATGGGTGAGCATAATCATTGATACTCTTGGCCCACGAGAGTTTAAAATGTGTACGGCAAGCTCTTGGCCCACGAGAGTTAAAAATGTGTACGGCAAGCTCCTGGCCCGCGTGAGTTAAAACTATGTACGGTCCCCTCCTTTAGATTACCAATTCAAATGGTACATATGAACTACGTTTGACTTGATCTCCTTCACATGAGTACGTAGGCAGCTCAAAAGTTTCATTTTTGAGTTCAGTTATAACAAAATAAACCCCAATTAAGTTGTTTTGTCAAAGAGAATTTCAGAAGAAGGCTTATGAAAAAAAGAGACGGATGAATGACAAAGGCTTTTGGAGATTCTTTGATCTCCTCCTCATCGGAAGTGGATTGAGTTGAGCTTCGAACGACGTCTCCACAATACCACCACCATCTCAACAACGGAGCAGGTGGCGTCAACGGCAGTAGCATCGATGACACCTTTAAAGCTTTGAACAACATCATCATCTTCTTCACGAAGACAAAGGGCAACACCGTCGTTTGAAATCTGCAAGACCGCTACAAGCTCCTTCGGAACCGCTACTAGCTCCCGTCAGACCGCTACAGCTCCCATCGGACCGCTACAAGCTTCTGCCTGACCGCTACAAGCTCCTGCCAGATTGCTACAAGCTCCCGTTGGACCGCTCATGAAATTTCCCTCCACTGCATCAGCAAATCTCTAGCCAACATCTGCACCGACAAAATAGCCGTTCTTCAAAGCGACGAAGTGGCTAGCCTTCACACCGATGAAGTAGTCGGTCTTCAAGCTGGCAAAATATCCAACCTTCAAAGCAACGAAGTGGTCAACCTTCACACCCACAAAATAGCCGGTCTTCATAAATGGCGAAATGGCCGCCCTTCATAAAACGGCGAAATGGTCATCTTTCATAAAAGGCGAAATGGTCGATCTTCATAAACGGCATCAGTAGGGCTTCTTATTCACTGGGCAAGCAGCACCAACGACACCGGCATCCGGCGAAATATGGCCCTCTCGAAATAACGGGAACCCTTAAGCGTTCAATATCTCTAGTAAGTGATAAAACTGGTGCAGCAAAGGGCTGGGGGCAGCATGATTTTTCCCTGCAAAAAAAAAACAAAGCAAAAAAAAAATCTTATATAAAATAATAGAGGTTTTTACTGAAAAAGGCAAAGGAAATAATAAAATTTCCAAGCATCTAAATCAGGCCCGCTGCTGCACCCCGGAAGAAATCAATTCCTCATTGGCGAACATAGGCCCTGACGAAGGAAACTCTACAGCAACCGAATCAGCATGACCTGGTCCCGTCTTCTTCGCACGCACGTAGAGATTGGAAACCAGCGACAACGAACTAGGTCTCTCCTCTGGCCAGAAATCAGACCCAAACTTCGTCCATATCTTCTCCTTCAACGAACATATAGATGGGGAGGGAAATTAGCAACAATCTTCTTGAAAGCTTTATCCGCTGCATCAATTCAAGGAAATTCTGGCCGGCAGCAATTCAATCTGGAACTCAACCTCCGACGGCAACAACAACGGCCGAACCCTCCTGAGATTAAAGACGGTAAAATCTTCCTCATCTTCTCACACAACCATCAATCGCACGCCTAGTCGATCAACGGTTGTCCCCCAGCCTTCATCTTCTCTCTCCGGCGAGCGGCACCAACAATTCGCTAAGCTTCGTCTGCCTTCGGAATTTTGAACTCCATCTTCAACTTAATTGGCAAAAACTGAATATTGACCAACATGACAATTGCCGGACATGATATCATCTGAATTTCAGCCTTGAGATAGCCCTGCAACATAAAATAAACCAAATTAAAGGAGGTGTGAAGAGCGTAAATAGATTTACCATTTTCCATGGAATTGTTCGGTGATATTTATTGTAACACCGTCCCCAAATGTATTTATCTTTAAGCGAATAATTTATTGAACCCTATGAGATTTTTAGTGAATTTACGAGGTTGTGAATTTGTATTAATTTTTTCGCGTGAATAGTAAAATGCATGTGGGGCCCACATCGGGAGTGGGGACCGCCCGATATTATCGGGACCACATATTATATTCATCTGGGTCTAGAAAATATTTATAGATGGTGGATACTTCATTTGGGCCATGGAAAGGCCCAAAGTTGACCGATTGGTCAATAGAGGCCCAAATACCGGTATCGATAAATTTATCAGATAAAAGCCCGAAAGTGGATCTTGGAGACTTATAAATTAATGTTGGGGAATGCATATTCATTCTAAATGTTATAATGATTTAGAACACGTAATATATTTATTTAACCCGATAAAATAAAATATATCTAAAACAGTCCGGAAAATACAACTTTCGGGGCAAATTGTACACTTTGGGACAAATTAGGATGACCTCCCACATGGGTGGGGGCCACCCCACGAATTTGTCAACCCTTGGGGACTGGATGAGTGCTAAGTTGGCTGAATAACAATTGATAGGATGGGGGAGACACCCTTTGACATTTAGTAGACCCCATCCCTTCACTCATTTGTTTAAATGAGACAAAAACCACCCCTCTCACCTCACCACCTCCACCCACTCGTAGCAACACCCAAGGATAGCAAGGAGGAGCTCTGAAATTCATCATTTTCACACCCAAATTCGAGCTCAAGATAGAGGATCCAAAGTGAAGTGTTTGGAGAAGGAAAAAGGTGTAGGAAAGTGTGGAAATTGAGGTAATCACCTTGCCATAGCTTTCCCTTTATTCTTCTTCTACCATGAGGAATATTTATTATATGAAGAACCCTTGGGATGGTTCTCCATGTTCTAAGTATGGATTTATGGGTTGGAAAGTGGTTCTATGTCCAAGAACGGACTTAGAAGCCAAATCGACCGGTTTGCCGGAAAATAACCTTTTATAGGTTATTTGTGTTGATATGGGTTTTGTGATGATAAAACCTTGTTAGGAACTTGATTTAAAGTATTTTTGAGCTTCGCCGGAGTTTCGTCAGAGTTGGTCAAAGTTCGCCGAAGTTGGTCAAAGTTCGCCGGAGTTGGTCAAAGTTCGCCGAAATTAGTCAAAGTTCAATCGAGAAGCGTAGAACGCGCTTAAGCTTAATTAAGGTGAGGATGACCGACTATGTTGCTTATAATCTTTGGGTTAATCTCATGGGATCTCCTAAGTGAATACAAATGTGATGTGCATGGGTTGTTAATGGTTAATAATGCCTAAATAAAACTACTATTGATTATAAGTATAGTATGCATGATATACAAATTTATGAATAAATTGGGTATGTTTAGATGTTATGAATACGAGTGTATGATGGTTGTATCAACCATGAATTTCATTAGAGATAGTATACTTTGATACCATGAGGAGAAGCCATGAAAGTATAAAAGTGATATTTGATATTAAGGCCAATCATGCATGAAGGAAGAATTATATTGAAATAAATAAATAACTAGCATTGAAATATTAGTTGGAAATGTTAGTTGAGAAATGGATGAATTAGATCCTAAGAATTTGAATTATAAAGAATCGGTGATTATGAGCCGGGCTCGAGACCGATGTAGATAACGGTGATTATGGGCTGGGCTCTAGACCGTAGTAGATGACGGTGATTATGAGCTGGGCTCTAGACCGTGGTAGATGACGGTGATTATGAGCGGGGCTCTAGACCGTAGTAGATAACGGTGATTATGAGCTGGGCTCTAGACCGTAGTAAATGATGATGAATTGATACTAAATGAACGGATTAACTATAATGTAGTAATGCTCTAGATTGAGGGCCTCAGAGATTTAAACTTCGATTATACTTAGTATAGTTGTCATTGTACTTGTCAAATGCTTCCAAGTACTGACCTCCCCTTCACGGGGGAGGCCACCTCACAGTTTCAGGTAGAACTTGAAGGTTGCTACTACCGGCCGCTGTTTCGGGAAGTTTCTGAGAAGAAGACTTGGTTCGTGCTTCTTCCGTTCTTGTTTTGAAAACAATATGAATAATGCTCATGGATATTATTTTCTAAATATACATTTCGGGGGTTTGTATACCCATGTTTGCCAAGTGTGGCTTGAACACTTGTAATGTTGTTTCCGCTGTTTTAAAGAATAATTCACATTATGTTTGTTTATGGATGTGCTACGTGTGAATGATATTTCAGACGCCTTGTATAGTATGAATGTGTTGAACTGCGGTTGACAAATCGTACTGTACGGCGGATTGTTGACGTGTCTGGTAGGTCCGGGGCGTGACATTTGATCAGTTCTTTATGTCCTTTAACCTCTGCCGGGGGGCATTCAAATGCTGAGGGCTTCGCCAACCTTCAGCAGGTACCGGAGTTCAGGCTTTTTGACGACGTGCCCTCGTCCCACAAGGGGTGGAAGGAGAGATTCTGCTATATTCGGCTCGAGGAGAACCCCTTCCCGGCCCAGCTCCGCAATAGCTTCCGGCGCCACCCGAAGGTAGGGAGCGCAGCTCTGGAGAAGAATGGCAAAGTGCTTGCCAAAAAGCCGGAGGGCTCTGACAAGCACGTCAAGATTAGAGACGTCACCCTCCCCGAGGAATTGCTTAGCCTGGGCTTCCGGCAGTTCAGGCCGAGGGGCTCTTCGGATGAAAGATACCCTCCCCTCGATCGAGTCTTCGAAGGAGCTGGAGGTGATTATCGAAGGGTTCATTTATGCCTTGATAGTTTTTTTTCATACGTTCCTTTTCTTTCCTATCTTTTATGTCGTTGTAATTGATAGCCTTCGGTCTAACCCTCCTGTGTTTTTTTTGCTTGCAGGTAATAACATGGACGTTGGTTCTCTCTTCGCTCTGAAGAATACGAAAGGGAAGAAGAAGGCCCCGGTGGGCACTTCTGCCAGGGAAGGGCCCTCTCAACCTGCTGTTGCCGCTGCTGGCGCCGGAGGGTCCAGAGGTGCCGGGCCCGCGAAGAAGAAGAACGCCGGCAAGGGAACCGAGCCCCCGGCAAAGAAGCCGAAGACTGCCGCCCCTGCCAAACAGCCGGCCACCGATGTGGTGGTGATCGTGGATGAAGGGCACGCCTCTGCCCCCACCCCCAGGAACACATCAACCAGGAATTCTTCGGGCGGGAGAAGCTGGAGGCGCTAGTGCCGAAGGGAGCCTCAGTATTGGAGGGCAGCCTGAACCCTTCGGCACTGATGAGCCAGATGCTGCCGTCGGCTGACCGGTTGGCCCTTGCCAGGTTGGACGAGGGATCCCTCGAGTCGAAGGTCCTTCTGAACGTTGCCTCCGTAAGTCATACCCATCCTTTCCTTGTTCGTTGTTGTGTTTTTTTTTGTAATGTGTTCATCGTGCCTTATTCTTCGCCTTTGTGAATTGCAGAGCTTTATGGGTCTCTGCGAGCACCTCTGGAGGGTGGAGCAAATGAGGGAGGCCAAAGGCGCAGCCGAGGGGGAGGCCGCCCTCCTCAGGAAGAAACTCGCCGAGGCTGAGGACTCTCTCCGCCTGGCTACCAACGGCCTGGAGCAGAGGGTGCAGGCTGCAAGGGCTGAAGGGGTGAATGAGGGCCTGGTCAAGGCCGGGGAGGCTGCTGCCGAGGCCGCCCGTATTGCTGCTGATGAAGCCCGCGCAGCTCAAGAAGAGGCTGTCTCCAAAGCTCGAGAGGATGCGGTGGCCAGCTTCACTGCCGAGGGATGGAAGGCTGAAGATCGGAGGGAGTGGCTTGCTTCGGTGGTGGGGGCTTCGGTGGACGAATGGGTCGGAGGCCCCGGAAAGATGTGGCTTGCTGAGAGGGGCGACTCGTACTACCAAGGCGGGGAGTTCTTCACCCAACGCCTTATCTACCGGAAGCTTGCGAAGCACTTTCAGATTGCACCGGAGGAATTCCATCCAGAGGCTTATGGCCTCCCCCCTCGTCAGCCAGACGTCAGGATCCCACTCCCCGAGGGGGAAGAGAGGCCAGTGCTCGAAGATTCGGAGACCCTCCGGGAGTGCGGCCTCGGGGGTGATGAGGATGAAGGCGAGAGTGAGGCCATTTCTACAGCTCCCCCTTCCTGAAATGTATTCCCCCTGTTTTGTAATCATACTCTGTTGTAATTGTTGGTTTCGGCCCCTTTTGTAACGTACATTTAAACTTCCCTCCCTTGGATGAATGAGTACATACGCCTTCGGGCTTTTGATATATAACATGCTTCCTTTTGATTTGTTTATTCTCGAATGTATGCCGTCGTTTCCTTCTGAATGTATGCCCTCTCCCTTCTTTGAATGTATGTTTAGGACTTAGAATGTTTTCTTCCAAGTGCGGTGCTTCTTGTAGCCCTCGGCTACTAGTAACCTTTAGTTACTTTAACGTTCTACCGGGGTCACAATGTTCAGGACTTAGAAATATTTCTAAGTGTTTGTTCATCTGTTGGCCCCCGGCTGATCTTCCCTTCTGGTTCCGTGTAGCCTTCGTGCGATGGCCGGAGGTGAGGTGCTTAGGACTTAGAGAATTCTTCTAAGTGTTTGAATACAGTCATAGCCTTCGGTAGTTGGGCACCCTTTGCTAGATGTATGACCGAGGGCCCAACAATAGTTAGGACTTAGAAAATTTTTCTAAGTGTAGTCCGTATGTAGTAGGAGCCCTCAGTCAACATGGAGATTTGACCGAGGGTCAAAGTATGTAGGACTTAGAAAATTTTTCTAAGTATAGCTTCACCAAGTCTTCAACCGCATGCCCCCCCCCCCCCCCGGTAGTATGGAGAGTTGACCGAGGGCCAAAATGTGTAGGACTTAGCAAATTTTCCTAAGTGTAGTACGTGTGAAGTTGGAGCCCTCGGGTGACTGTGAGGTGTTTGCGGTATGCCCTCGGCTGGTTGGTGGCTCCACAAGGGGCAAAGCATTTAGGACTTAGCTTGTTTTTCTAAGTGTAGCACACCATAGGGCCTTCGGGTGTTTGTAGTTCAATTGTTGTGAGATGATTAGGTTGAGAACCCCAATCCTTAAGACTTAGAAAAAAATTCTAAGTGTAGTTCCCCATTGGAAGCCCTCGGCTGGTAGCCTCCTTCCTGATGTGTGAATATTTGACCGAGGGCCAAATATGTAGGACTTAGAAAATTTTCTAAGTGCTGTTGCATCACGTAGCCTTCGGCTATCATGGTTCCTCTAGTTGAAATATTGATCAGACTGGGGGCTCAATCTTCAGGACTTAGAAAATTTTCTAAGTGTTGCTTCCTTGTGTAGCCTTCGGTTAGTAGTGTTTTCCGCTTAAGATTTCCCGAGGGCGACATTATTTTGGAATAATCCCCCTTGGTTGGCCTTTGATGATTTGTAATAGATGCCTTCGGTTGTTGGGTGATATGTGAGCCTCCAGTTGATGTCATTTTTTCAAAAGTGTGGACTTAGGAAAATTTGTAGGACATTGGTGTTGTAGTGAATGCTGGTGGGATATAGGTGCCCTCGGCATTCACTTGAAGGGTCGTTGAGTTGCCTTAGTCAGTTGCATCCCATTTTATAGGATAGGACCCCTCTGTAGCAATGGATGACCGATGGTAGGTGCCCTCGGCACTTATTTTGAAGTGAACTTAGCCGTTTAGTGTACTTGAGACAGTCCAAATCCTTTGTATTGTTGAGTAGTAACCTTCGGGAGATAAGAGCCTTCAGTTACCGGAGGTGTTCCCGTAGGGAGCCCTCGGTATGTTGTGATTCGTTGGAGTGTTGTACTCACTGATTTCTCGATGAGTCTACTCCCCTTCACCCCCCCCCCCTTTTTTTTTGGTTGGTGGTGAAGGGAAGGCATCAAGAAACTTGGTTTCTTGGTAAGGCTGGGCCTATCAGGAGACCATCAGAATACACCAATGGCTCTCCTCCCTCGGGTTAACCTTCCGAGTTCCGAGGGGATCGAGGGTCGTTTCCTGGGCACAAGATATGGTGGTCTGTAACCTGCCTCCCCTTGGGGGATGGCGCGGAAAGCACCTCAGTTTTGAAAGTCGTCCCCTCGGCGCTAGACATAGTCTGTGGCCTGCCACACCCTTGGGGTGGTGGTGCGGGGAGCGTTTCGGTTTGGAAGTCGAATCCTGGGCATTTCTCGTGCCTGTCATACCCTTGGGGTGATGACGCGGAAAGCGTTCCGTTTTTGAAAGTCGAATCCTGGGCATTTCTCATGCCTGTCATACCCTGGGGGTAGTGACGCGGAAAGGGTTTCAAGGAAGGGTTTTCATTTGCACACTAGTTGCAAATGGCCGGGGGCACTACGTGCCGCCGGCACCGATGGTGGCGCCTTCAGTATATGCGTCCTCGTGGGGTACGGCTTTAGAAACAACACTTGGTGTTAGTCTCGACATATAGCCGCCGGTACTTGGTACCGAGGGGTCTTCTGTAGGAACACTTGGTGTTCTTCTTCTTTTTGATGCTGATGGTGGAGATGTGTACCCCCGGCACTGGGTGCCGAAGGGTCTTGAAATGAAACACTTGGTGTTTCTTGTTGCCGGTGATGGGAGTTCCCACCTTCGGTACTTGGTACCAAGGGGTCTTGTTCGAAAACACTTGGTTTTTTCACTGTTGTTGGAGGTGTTAGTGGTGTCCGCCCTCGGCACTTGGTGTCGGAGGGGGTTCTTCTCGTGGTGAGGCCTTGGGCCTGTAGTTGGTATGAGGGCTTGGCCGCTCATAAGTGTTTTATGGTTGTTCTTGGTGTCTTGAATGTGTCTTCATTCTTCAAAATTGGAGGCCTTGGGCCATATGATAGTACATTCACTAGTTATGAGGGCTTGGCCGCTCTTACATTATTGATAAAATTTAACTAAGTGGTGTACATTCCAGTGCCTAGGGACCTCTTTCCCGTTGGGGCGTTTGAGCTTGTAAGTCCCAGGTTTGATGATGGCTGCTATGATGTAGGGACCTTCGAACTTTGCTGCCATTTTGCCTCCCTCGGTCGGTTGGCTGGCTTCCCTCCTCCGGAGGACGTAGTCCCCCACTTGGAATTCTCGGGTGCGAACCTTGGCGTCGATGTAGCCTTTGACTTGCCTTCAGTAATTTTCTGCCCGGTGAAGGCTTGCTCCCGGCGTTCTGAAAGGAGGTGGAGGTCGAGGGCCATGTTGTTGTCGTTGACCTCGAGGTCATATTGGATCACCCTCCGGGTAGGAAGGGTGACTTCTGTAGGAGCTTTGGCTTCAAACCCGTAGCAGAGCGAGAAGGGTGTTTCACCTGTTGCTCGTCGAGGGGTGGTGCGGTTGGCCCAAAGGATGTTGTGGAGTTCTTCTACCCAGCCACCGCCCTCGGCCTCCAGCTTCTTTTTGAGGCCCTCGAGCAAGGTCCGGTTGGCGTTCTCTACTTGCCCATTGCCTTGAGGGTAGGTAACGGAGGAGAAGGTGTGTTTGATGCCCCATGCCTCCAGAAGGGCACAGAAGGGGGCTGCCTCAAATTGTGTTCCGTTGTCGGAGATGATCTGCTGGGGGACACCAAACCTTGTGAGGATGTTCTTGAGGACGAAGTGACGGCACTTCGCCTCTGTGATGCTGGCGAGGGGCTCAGCCTCCACCCACTTGGTAAAGTAGTCGATGGCCACAATGATGTACCTGTTGTTGGAGGTACCCCTCGGCAGAGGGCCCACAAGGTCTATCCCCCATCGAGAAAAGGGGACAGATGTGCTGATGGGGGCATAGTTGACCGCTGGCCTGCCGGGGGCTTTTTGGAAATGTTGGCATGCGGTGCACCTTGGGCAAGGTCAGCACAATCCCTGGCCATGGTTGGCCAAAAGTAGCCCTGGAGAATGAGCCTTCGGGACATGGAGAAGGGTCCCTGGTGAGCTGAGCAAGTGCCACTGTGCACTTCCTCCATTGCAACCTCGGCTTCATCTTGATGAAGGCACCGAAGTAGCGTGCCGTTGTAAGACCGTTTGTAGAGCCTTTCGTCTTCGATGGTGTAGCTAGGGGCCCTCAGCTTTGCTAGTTTAGCGCGGGTCTCATTTTCGGGTAGCTACCCTGTGGAGATGAAGGTGGTGATATCCGAGATCCAGTCCTCTTGGCGTTGTTGTATGTTCATGACGGGGCTCGCATGGATACTTGAGAGACTGAGTTCCTCAATTTTGGCAATCTTAGAGATGTGCTCGGGGGATTCGGCCGAGAGCTTAGATAGTATGTCGGCCTCGGAGTTCTGAGCCCTCGGTATTTGAGTGAGAGAGTGTGCCTCAAATACCTTAAGCAACTCCTTGGCCGCCTCCTTGTACTGTTTCATTCTTCCCTCCTTGGCCTCATACTCTTCGGAGATTTGGCCAACGACCAACTTGGAGTCGCATTTGATATGGATCTGCTGAGCCTTCATGTTGTTAGCCAGCCGGAGGCCACATAGGAGGGCCTCATACTCGGCCTCGTTGTTGGAGACTTTGAAGGAGAAGCGGATTGCATAGTAGGCCTTGAAGCCCTCGGGAGTAATGAGGACTACCCCTCCCTCGCATGCTTTGGTTGCGGAGGAGCCGTCGGTGTAGAGGGTCCACCAGTCGTCCGAGGTAGCCGAGGGCTCCCCGTCCGTGGCTGCCCTTGCGGTACACTCCGTCACAAAGTCCGCCAGGGCTTGGCCCTTGATGGCGGGCCTCGGACGGATGTCAATGTTGTACTGGCTCAAGAAGATAGCCCATTTCACCATGCGGGAGGAGCTGGTGGGGCTCCTCATGAGGGCGCCGAGGGGTTGATGAGTGAGGACCTGAACCGGGTGAGCCTGAAAGTAGTGGCCCAACTTCTTGACGGTCCAAACGATGGCTAACACCGTTTTTTCCACAGGGGAGTACCTGAGCTCGGCCTCCCTTAGGGTCTTGCTTACATAGAAGATGGCATGTTGGATGTTGTCTTCCTCCCGGATGAGCACAGAGCTGATGGCTGCCGGGCTGACCCCAAGGTAGAGGTAGAGGGTCTCCCCTACCTTTGGTCTGGAGAGCACAGGGGGTGAAGATAGGTACCGTTTGAGCTCTTCGAAAGCCTCCAGGCATTCTGAAGTCCATTGAAAGCCAGCCGTCTTCCTCATGATCTGGAAGAAGGGTAAAGACTTCTCCGCTGATTTAGATAGAAAGCGGTTGAAGGCTGCCAGGCGGCCCGTCAACCGTTGAACTTCCTTCACATTGTGTGGGGGCTCCATGTTGATGATGGCCTGGATCTTCTCGGGATTGGCCTCAATGCCCCTTCGGCTTACCA